AGTGGATCTGGTGGAGAGGATCTGGTCAAGTGGATCTGGTGGAGTGGATCTGGTGAAGTGGATCTGGTGGAGTGGATCTGGTGAAGTGGATCTGGTCAAGTGGATCTGGTGAAGTGGATCTGGTGGAATGGATCTGGTCAAGTGGATCTGGTCAAGTGGATCTGGTCAAGTGGATCTGGTAGAGTGGATCTGGTGGAGAGGATCTGGTCAAGTGGATCTGGTGGAGTGGATCTGGTGAAGTGGATCTAGTGGAGTGGATCTGGTGAAGTGGATCTGGTCAAGTGGATCTGGTTAAGTGGATCTGGTCAAGTGAAGTGGATCTGGTCAAGTGGATCTGGTAGAGTGGATCTGGTGGAGAGGATCTGGTCAAGTGGATCTGGTGGAGTGGATCTGGTCAAGTGGATCTGGTGGAGTGGATCTGGTGAAGTGGATCTGGTGGAGTGGATCTGGTGAAGTGGATCTGGTCAAGTGGATCTGGTGAAGTGGATCTGGTGGAATGGATCTGGTCAAGTGGATCTGGTCAAGTGGATCTGGTCAAGTGGATCTGGTGGAGTGGATCTGGTCAAGTGGATCTGGAGAAGTGGATCTGGTGAAACGGATCTAATGGAGTGGATGTGGTGAAGTGGATCTGGTGAAGTGGATCTAGTCAAGTGGATCTGGTGAAGTGGATCTGGTGAAGTGGATCTGGTGAAGTGGATTTGGTGAAGTGGATCTGGTGGAGTGGATCTGGTGAAGTGGATCTGGTGGAGTGGATCTGGTCAAGTGGATCTGGTCGAGTGGATTTGGTTAAATGGATCTGGTGGAGTGGATCTGTTGAAGTGGATCTGGTCAAGTGGATCTGGTGAAGTGGATCTGGTCAAGTGGATCTGGTGGAGTGGATCTGTCTTCTGTGTGAAAGGTCCTACAGCCCAGCAGCCCTCAGTCTAAATAAATGTTGTATTTCAGCCGGTTTCTTAAAATGTTAAGTTGTATGAATTTATACATTACAATGTAGGCTTAAATATTTCATTTTTGTTAAATCAACTTGATTTCCTTATTGATATAATAAATACAAATACAAAGTAACTTATAACATAAAAATGCTGCACTTATATTTAGAATTGACCGGCTGCCTTAACATTTTCAGTTCTGTCAAGTAGGGCTGAGACTGTGTAGTAGGCCTAGGTTTCACAGTAGGTTACGTATTTTCATGACATAAGAAATCACATTCAAACCAAAACAAATCTAATGTTACAGGGATTCAGTTTGTAGGTCTGTTTGTGGGCCTTGCATTATTGTGTTCAGATGTGAAGTTAATATAATGTCGACTTAATTAACTGTGTTTGGCTGGACTGCATGTTAATTCCAACACAAGTCACCCTTATTTAGCATTTTAACTTTTTTAATTTCAATTAAAAGTTGAATCAGTTAATTGTTTTCTGTTTTCCCCTCCTCTCTGGAAAAAATAATAATAATAATAATCCCAACTCAAAATTAGTCCTAATAGAAATAATAATGTTCAATAATAGGCCTGTTATTATAGTTGAAATCCACACATTCATGTCAATGACTATTAAAATATATTCGCTAATAAAGGTTCATGTCAATTGCTTTTTCACATTTAGAGGGGAGCAGATATATTTATATATATATATTTTTTTTATTATTGTGCATTTTCACGCTCTACTAACCATGACTAACCATCCATAGTCGCAGCATATCTCTCCTCCCACTCCGTCTCCGGTTGAGACTGCGGCCCTGCGCTGCGTTCTATCCGTCACCTTGAGGTTCCATTCACTCTGCTCTGCTCGTTCTAATTAAAAGCTTAATAGCCCCCGAGACAGGGTCCATGCGGTGAGTTTACCAGGGCCTCCGTTCTCAGAGCCGCGTGCCTCTGATCCCATTATTTGCTTGAATAAACCTTTTTACGGTCAGAAATGTGACACGGGGGTGTCCGGTGTTGTGTTTCTATGGCCTGCCGCTATAAGCCGAGGCTGGGGGGGGGGGGGGGGGGGGGGGGGGGGGGGGGGGGGGGGGGGGGGGGGGGGGGCACATCAGATCAGCAGAGGGATTTTAATACCCTACATCATTAAGTCCATATAGGACTAGATTGTGTTTAATGGTGAGAACGAACGGATGTCGGTCCATTATATTTGGTGTGAATTAATTAAATATAATGATGAAAATTACTGCTCAGAATTTCATTACATAAATAGCGCCAAAGAGAAGCCGGTGAAATAACCAAACAGCCACGCAGAGACAGGGTTGGTCTGTACGAACCCTTACAGCTTACTGTAAACCTACTTTCAATCCGATACCATATACACCTGAGTACAGGCCTACACTCCATGCTGCTCTGTGAGCTTTGAGTGATGTCAACACCTCTAAAACTATTTATCCAACCTGATTTTGATGTTTGGAGTGTAGTCAAATTGTTTCATAGTCACTGTTGTAATTTCATGCAGACAATATTGCTCAGGGCTTTTTTTGCCACTTGTCCTTCGGATAAGTAGGACAGATTTTTTTACTTGTCCGAAAGCTGAAGTCACTTGTCCCCACAAAAAAAAAAAAAATGAGTGAAATACATAGGAGGGATCTGAAATAATTGAATGCGCTTGCCCATAGATTATGTTATCGGCCCTTCGCGGCCATCCAAAATAATGTACAATAAAAGGTCACACAAAAAAATAGACTGTTATGCATCTGGCTGGCGTGCTACGGGAGAGCCGAGGAATCATGACATTGACTAAATATATTTAGTGGAGACAAATCTTTTATAGCCGATTTCACTCTGGTTATCTGTGGTACTATAGAGATGTGTAGGATCCTAGGTCTATCTGGTTATCTGTGGTACTATAGAGATGTGTAGGATCCTAGGTCTATCTGGTTATATGTGGTACTAAAGAGATGTGTAGGATCCTAGGTCTATCTGTGGTACTATAGAGATGTGTAGGATCCTAGGTCTATCTATGGTTATCTGTGGTACTAAAGAGATGTGTAGGATCCTAGGTCTATCTGGTTATATGTGGTACTAAAGAGATGTGTAGGATCCTAGGTCTATCTGTGGTACTATAGAGATGTGTAGGATCCTAGGTCTATCTGGTTATCTGTGGTACTATAGAGATGTGTAGTATCCTAGGTCTATCTGTGGTACTATAGAGATGTGTAGTATCCTAGGTCTATCTGGTTATCTGTGGTACTATAGAGATGTGTAGTATCCTAGGTCTATCTGGTTATCTGTGGTACTATAGAGATGTGTAGTATCCTAGGTCTATCTGTGGTACTATAGAGATGTGTAGGATCCTAGGTCTATCTGGTTATCTGTGTGTCTGTGTTTGCCAAAGTGTGCATATGGAGAAAGCGACAGTTAATGAGCTTCGCTGGCTGTTGGTCTTGTGATGGACAATGAATCATCAGGGCTGCAGACCAACTCTCCTGTCCTCAGAACTGGATAATTATAAACCGATTCCCATTTTTTCCTCATCCGCATCTCTTCTTAAGCCTAGGCTACTATCTGCGTTGTAGCAGGTTGCACATTGCTAGAATACCATGTAAATAGCCCTAGGCCAACTACGCATTTCTTTTATAAGAATTCCTCAGCTGTAGCCTAAGTTTTCGTTTGACTCCTCATTAGATTTTTCCATCTTGTTATTGTTTTTCTCAATTTCACTTCTTGTGTCCTAAAATATTTGTCATTCAAAATAAATGTATGAATGAGAATAGCATAGACTCCGACGTTCATAATTGTTCCCATTTAAAAGCTGCAACCTTTAGGACATTAAACACTTTATTAGAAAAGTTTGGAAAATACTCTTCATAACTTTATTTTCTCTTAATACTTTTATGATATTTCAGTTAGTAGGATTAGGCTTTTGGCCGTTTGGTTCGTAATGGCAAGGAAGGATTTTACCTGGCCTCGCATGCAGGAATCATTTCTGTTTTATAACGCTTTGCTCAATTGTAAGGTTTTTGTTCTCATTTATCATTAGATTTTTATGTCTTGCAATTGTTTCTTCCATCTCTCTCATTATTACCTTGGGCCTCTCATGTTTTTGGGTTATTCAAAAACAACTTAAAACTTGCTGAGATATTTTACGCTACTTTGGTGAGACTCTTAGCTCTGTCTACATTGTTCTCTTGCTTTGTGTAAATATAATATATTAATTGAAATCGGTTATAGCAAATAGGAATAAGGGCTTTTTACTCAGAATGTCAACCATGTCCTGCCCTGCTGTGCGCTGCGGCAGCGCCGCTGCAGGATTCCAATTCTGATCGGAGAAATTGTTTTATATTGTGATTTTTTACTTGTCCATTCGGTCAACTGAAATATATATTCTGGTTGTCCGACTATTTTTTTTACTTGCCCCAGACAAGCGGACAATCCTTAATGTTGAGCCCTGTTGCTGTGTGTTTTGTCAATGCCGTGTAGCCTACAGTCCCAACAGACTGACATAACTGACTTCTGGGCTGCATCGCTTTATTGCACTTAGGTTAAATAAGGCTTATTCCATAGGCCTACACATCAGCACCTCGCCTTCTGATTTATGAACTCTAGTATTCATTCTTCCATACGACTAACCGTTCAATGTAAACGTTTAATTAAGTGTGTGGCATTCATTGTCCCGCTAGAGTCTGCGAAACCATGGAACCTCTACCTCTCTCTCTCCCCAAGGATTCGTTGAGCGGGTACCAGTGATGCGCGACAGTATTTAGTTACTCGCCTCCATAACTGCGTGTCAGATGGAGGCTGATGCACGTGTGTCTTTATTGCCAGGGGACAGGAGAGGTAGAGGTAGAGGTGGATCCAACCAGCACCTCCTATCATGCAGACAGGACAGCGTGTAGCGAACACCGACAGGATTTGATCTCTTCACTCTCACTTCTGTCTGACAACTCTACTCTGCCTGGCCCGGCCTGCGTGCACACGCCCTTATCAGATGCACCTCGCGCCTATAGCACTTTGAGGAGATAAAGTAGTGAGAGTGTGTGACTGACTGACTGGCTGACTAACGGTGTGAGAAATGAATGGCTACGGATCGCCCTACCTGTACATGGGGGGCCCGGTGACCCAGGCCCGAGCGCCGCTCCAGAGGACCCCCAAGTGCGCGCGGTGCCGGAACCACGGCGTCCTGTCCTGGCTGAAGGGCCACAAGCGATACTGCCGCTTCAAGGACTGCACCTGCGAGAAATGCATCCTGATCATCGAGAGGCAGCGGGTCATGGCGGCTCAGGTGGCGCTCCGCAGACAGCAGGCCAACGAGAGTCTGGAGAGCCTCATCCCAGAGTCTCTGAGAGCTCTGCCCGGCATCACGGTGCCTGGACCCGGGGAGGGGAACAAGGGCTTGCCACACCGCTCTGGAGGAATGGACCTCCTATGGACCTCAAAACAGACTGCCAACACGCAGGGTAAGATGATGAGGATAGTCATAATAATAACAATCATAATACGCTTTTATTTAAGTCTATAGCTTTCATTTATGAAATGTTATTCATATAAATATATATATATATATATATATAGAAATCATTACAAAAATAGATCTCAAATGTGCTGTATTTGATAAAGTTACAACAAAACCTATACCTGAGAGAGAGCCGACGTTTGGACAATTTAGTTAAAAATGGGTTGACTACATTTTGGCTATTGGTTACAAACTGCGGCTAATGGCAACACTGCAATGGCAACATTGCAAAAAGCATCGCATTAGACTCAAAATTAAAATCAACAAGAATAGGCTATTATTGTAATTATTTCTTTAAATTGTAGGCAATATCTTTATCACAGATATTCAAGCTTTTTAACTTTTTTAAACGGCAAGCGTCACTGCATGAAGGCAGTCAGCTTTCACTTTATTGCGTGTGGCCTAATATAATTTTTATAAGTCTGTTAGTTGGTTTGAGAAATTAAATGAATACAGATTTGATATTTTAACTCACAGAAACCAAAGTATCTTATGGGGGTTCAACCCAGGGGTTATGTCAACGGTGGCTGACCTTACAGAGACACATTAATAGACATTGGTATTAAAAAACATTATGCACTCACTAACTGTAAGTCGCTCTGGATAAGAGCGTCTGCTAAATGACTACAATTTTTTTTTTTTAAACATTTGGAAGAGTTTATTTACAGAACGCTATATCCACCAGTTTTTCACATGAGTGTTTTTTTTTATTAGAAATGAATGCTATGTGTGTGTGAAATACAGTATTACTATCCTCATATTTTTTATTCATAGATTTGAGATCCCCTCTAAAAAATGCTGGGTCAATAATGACCCAATTTGGGTAATTTCTCTAACCTAGCACTGGGTCACTATAGTACATACCCAGCACTGGGTTATTTCGACCGAGCAGCGGGTTGGTTTTGACTCTTTTGCTGGGTTCTTGTTATTCATGTATTTCTGTTATTTCTTACTTTACTGCTGGCTTCTTTTTTTCTACCTCGTCTCTATTAAATCATCTGCTATTTTTGGAAAGGTACAAATACTTCTAACAATAACAATCAATGTTACAACGTTACTACACCAGTCTATGAAATTCTTAAAATGACATATGTCCAATCATGACAAATTGTAGATAAAATACCCAATGTTTATTTTCAGATATTAATTTCAGCTACAAGATGAAGTCATGCAAAAGATAAACAAATAAGGATGACACAAATAAAACAAAACTTTAGAAGCACAATCAAATCAAATCAAAATAAAATAAAATTGTATTCGTCACATGTGCCGAACACAACAGGTGTAGGCCTCACAGTGAAATAATTACTTACAATCCATCATTAGAAAATCACAGCAGCCCTACCAATGAAAGCTGAGGAAAGGGGGCTGAAGAAAAGTAAATCCTTTACCATGTACTCCCCTAACAGGTATCAATTTTCAACATGAATGAATGTAAAACACAACGAAACATAACGTCTTCTGCTCCAGAGCCTGCCCATTCACGATGGTGAATGCCAGGGAGTAGAGGCGATTGTCCCGGAGAATAATCAGAACGAAGGGTTCGAGTCTCTTGTTGTTTTCTGTCGCCTGGCGGAGATTTTCAGCCATATTGGTTCCAGCCTGAGGATCAGAGAATATGATTATAAAATGTTGAACAATAATCAAGACACACATGACATTTTTACACACACACACACATTTCTGTGTGCAAGGCCTTAATCTGCATTGAGTTGAGTCCAGACACTGTGCATGGTTTACAGTATTACTATGTTGTAGTCCGGTCTCCAGACCACATACTGAGTGTCTCGTTCTTGATAGCCGACCAAACTCAACTCCATGATGTACGACGGAGTTGATCCGCGACTAGTGTGGGCGGACTGGAGCTCCGACGTCACATAAAATGAATATTTCAGCACACAGAATGGGATAATGTGATGTGTAAACGCGGCCTATTCTTTGGGTGTTGAAATCCGTATTTTCCCCCTCCCCAAAAAATGTATCACTTTGGTACTATTTTCACAAGTATGTGGTACATTTTCACAACTTTTAGTACAAAACTTCAAACTGGTAATACTCGTAACGCAGCCAGTCTTTCATTCAAAACCTGTCATTGTGCATTTATTTGGATTGTAAACGTCTCTCACCACACAACCATCGATTCAAAATATACGTTTATTGTGAAATGTAATGACAACATTGGTTTAATCGCCAAAACACAACATGTGGTCCTCTGTAGCTCAATTGGTAGAGCATGGCGCTTGTAACGCCAGGGTAGTGGGTTCGATCCCCGGGACCACCCATACGTAAAAATGTATGCACACATGACTGTAAGTCGCTTTGGATAAAAGCGTCTGCAAAATGGCATATTATTATTATGAAGATATATTTTCAATTTAGTCGTTTTAACTACCAGTTAATCCAATAGCAAATGTGTTTCAAGATACGTTTTCAAATGGCCCTTAGAAGTGTAGAAAGTAATATGCTACAGTACTGTAAATTACAGTTTTCACATTAGGCAATACACTTACATTACCCAACAAAATTGACAGAAAATCTATCCAATGTGTAACCAAAGGTGTGATCAATGAAGACATCCTCTATAATCATGCATTAAAAAAAAAAAGCATTGTATTTTTCAGAAATAATTGCAACATAGGTGTGCTGTCTGTAATCAAATGTAAGAAATTAAATGAAACAAATTAAATGAATTCAAATAAAACTAACTTTAGCACGCATTAATTTGCATCAAGCCGGTCTTGAGCATTTGGCCATAAATTATCATCCACTGTGAATGTCCTCATAGTCCATGCACCGCGGGAAATATCTTTTGGCATGGCGTATCCAAGCTTGACATTGGTCTGCATTGATGTCGTCGCATGCCTCATCCATGGCCAGAAGGAGGGCGGAACGCTCATGGGGATGGCAATCGTACACCTTTCACCTCCATGCTGAAAAAAATGTCTCAATAGGGTTGAGGAAAGGAGGGTGTGGGGGCAGGTATAGGGTCACGAATTGGGGATGGGCCCAAACCATGCCTGAAGCACCTCTGCATGGTGGAACCTGACATTGTCCCACACAATGACAAAGGCGACCCCTTCACCTTGACAGGCCTGCTCAATTTCATTGAGAAACACAATGAGCTGTGCAGCGTTGTAGGATCCAAGTAATGACCTACGTCCTAACACACCTTAAAAATACACCTTATGGAACAGCGGGGACTGTGAAGCAACACAAACATAGGCACAGACACATGCACACACACACACATGATAACATATGCACTATACACACACGTACACATGGATTTTGGTGGTAGTAGAGTAGAGGCCTGAGGGCACACATTTAGTATGCTGTGAAATCTGTTATGAATGTATTGTAATGTTTTTTTTAAATGTATAACTGCCTTAATTTTGCTGAACCCCAGGAAGAGTAGCTGCTGCCTTGGCAGGAACTAATGGGGATTCTTAATAAACCCCAGGAAGAGTAGCTGCTGCCTTGGCAGGAACTAATGGGGATCCATAATAAACCCCAGGAAGAGTAGCTGCTGCCTTGGCAGGAACTAATGGGGATCCATAATAAACCCCAGGAAGAGCAGCTGCTGCCTTGGCAGGAACTAATGGGGATCCATAATAAACCCCAGGAAGAGTAGCTGCTGCCTTGGCAGGAACTAATGGGGATCCATAATAAATACAAATACAAATACACCATCTTCAGAGATAGCTGTGCACATGGAGGTGTTTCCCCCACGTTGTCCAGGCACTTGGACGGTCGCCCGTTTGCGGATGAGGTTCCGCCCACGGCATCGAGTTTCTGCCAGGTTGAAGCCCGCTTCATCAACGAAGATATACTTGTGATGGTCCACAGCAGCACCAACACCCTCTAAACATATAATTTGGTTAGTTATTTCTACAGTACAGTTCCAATATTACATTGTGAAGTAGCATGTGCATCACATAGTAACAGTAATATCAAATCTAATTGTATTGGTCACATACACGTGTTTAGCAGATGTTATTGCTGGTGTAGCGAAATGCTTGTGCTTCTAGCTCCGACCGTGCAGTAATATGGAGTTCTGCAGTATATAGTGCAGTGGTTTCACCCAGTCGTTGTTTCTCTCAGAAGGCACCAGGTAAATGTGTTCCATAGATACCTGGTGTCTCTTCAAAAGGCTCCAGGTCAATGTGTTCCATAGATACCTGGTGTCTCTTCAAAAGGCACCAGGTAAATGTGTTCCATAGATACCTGCTGCCTCTTCAAAAGGCGGGTGATTGTTGTTAGGCTGATGGATGCCACATTGGTAAAGGTGTCATCATTCTCCTCAATGGCCTGCTTTATTTCAGACAGACGTATGTCATTCCTGGCCCTCACCATTTCCACCACGGCCCGCTCCTGCTGGTCGGTCAGCACACGGCCACCACCACGGGGTCTCCTGTCAGTCCTGAGGGTAGAACAGAGTATACAATCAATAGATCATACTGTAAGAATACCGTAACATGTTTTGTGAATTTACATGCATTGCAATATGTAATTTACTGTAAATGTAATGGTAAAGCATAGTGCATATCCTACAGACTTACCGGTTTTCTTGGTGAACATTTCTCGTGATCGAATTGACAGTTGATCTTTTCAGATTGTGGTGAACTAATCTGGCAGCCTCTGTCATGGTAAGGCCTCTGTTTACCACATGGTCAACGACGATGGCCCGGACTTCATTAGACACAACAGTTCCCTGCCGTCTGCCTCCCTCTCTCTGATGGCCACCTCTCTGACGGGCCCCTCGTCCACCTCTCTGACGGGCCCCTCGTCCTCTCTGATTGGCCCCTCATCCACGAGCTCTTTGATTTTTCCTCTCCCTTGCTGTCTATCCTGCTCCATGTTGAAAGAAATTGTGTTCACACACCCCCTTTCATATGGTGACCAATTGTGAAATCAATTAGCAATAATGAGTAGTCATTATGTATGGTTATCATGTATCATACATGTCATTTACATGTATGTATTTTACAAACACACATTTTATTTCTGTAGTTCTCAAAATCCATATATAGTAGACAAACCAGTTTAAAATCTATAGGTTTACCAAACGGTTAAGTGATTAACCATTATGCACAGTTGGATTAAGTGATGGTCAAATGTATTTAAACAAATGAGAAGAGAATCATATGAAAAGTATTGTGAGCATTGCATTGTGAAAGGCAATTACTTTATATAAAAGATATTTCTAGATGAAACACTGATTGGTGAAAAAGTTACTGTGTGATTTTGTGTGTTGTACTAGTCAATTGAAAATGTGCTTAAAGTAAAACATTTTAAAAAAAAGAAGCATTTTTGATGATCTGTTTTGAGTTTTGTACTACATTTTACCACATACTTCTGAAAATAGTACCAAGGCAAAAACAAAAACTGGTAAAAAATATTTTTATGTGACGTGGAAGCTCCAGTCCGCTAGTCACTGCTCAACTCCATCGTACGTCATGGAGTTGACCTTACTCAGCTAGGTGTTGGATATATTTTTACTCGGTCTTGACTCTGACTCATTCTCGGACAATGAGGACTCGTCATTTCTTTCCTAGACCAGCCGAGGCCAGCGCTGTAAAAAAAAAACTGAATTACAGTCAGATAAGGTAGAGAAAGTCTGAATTACAGTCAGATAAGGTAGAGAAAGTCTGAATTACAGTCAGATAAGGTAGAGAAAGTCTGAATTACAGTCAGATAAGGTAGAGAAAGTCTGAATTACAGTCAGATAAGGTAGAGAAAGTCTGAATTACAGTCAGATAAGGTAGAGAAAGTCTGAATTACAGTCAGATAAGGTAGAGAAAGTCTGAATTACAGTCAGATAAGGTAGAGAAAGTCTGAATTACAGTCAGATAAGGTAGAGAAAGTCTGAATTACAGTCAGATAAGGTAGAGAAAGTCAGAATTACAGTCAGATAAGGTAGAGAAAGCGAGACATCCCACTTCCTAATTTCTTCTGGTCAGGGCGTGGTCTGCTCATTGCCCTGCAGAGGATATGGTAGAGCAGGGGTGTCTAACTCATTCCATGGAGGGCCTAGTGTCTGCAGGTTTTTGGTTTTTACTTTCAACAAAGCCCTAGACGACCAGGTATGGGGAGTTCCTTACTAATTAGTGACCTTAATTCATCAATCAAGTACAAGGGAGGAGCAAAAACCTGCAGACACTCGGCCCTCTGTGGAATGAGTTTGACACCTGTGTGATGGAGAAAGGAGACATCTCACCGGCTATAACAAGTAGACCAGAGGCAGCTGTTCCCTCTCTCACATGAGCATGCCAGAGATTATGGAGGAACCGTGAGCATGCCAGAGATTATGGAGGAACCGTGAGCATGCCAGAGATTATGGAGGAACCGTGAGCATGCCAGAGATTATGGAGGAACCGTGATCATGCCAGAGATTATGGAGGAACCGTGATCATGCCAGAGATTATGGAGGAACCGTGAGCATGCCAGAGATTATGGAGGAACCGTGATCATGCCAGAGATTATGGAGGAACCGTGAGCATGCCAGAGATTATGGAGGAACCGTGATAATGCCAGAGATTATGGAGGGACCGTGAGTATGCCAGAGATTATGGAGGAACCGTGATCATGCAGAGATTATGGAGGAACCGTGATCATGCCAGAGATTATGGAGGAACCGTGAGCATGCCAGAGATTATGGAGGAACCGTGATAATGCCAGAGATTATGGAGGGACCGTGAGCATGCCAGAGATTATGGAAGAACCGTGATCATGCCAGAGATTATGGAGGATCCGTGATCATGCCAGAGATTATAGAGGAACCGTGAGCATGCCAGAGATTATGGAAGAACTGTGAGCATGCCAGAGATTATGGAGGAACCGTGATCATGCCAGAGATTATGGAGGAACCGTGATAATGCCAGAGATTATGGAGGGACCGTGAGTATGCCAGAGATTATGGAGGAACCGTGATCATGCAGAGATTATGGAGGAACCGTGATCATGCCAGAGATTATGGAGGAACCGTGAGCATGCCAGAGATTATGGAGGAACCGTGATAATGCCAGAGATTATGGAGGGACCGTGAGCATGCCAGAGATTATGGAAGAACCGTGATCATGCCAGAGATTATGGAGGATCCGTGATCATGCCAGAGATTATAGAGGAACCGTGAGCATGCCAGAGATTATGGAAGAACTGTGAGCATGCCAGAGATTATGGAGGAACCGTGATCATGCCAGAGATTATGGAGGTGCACTATGCAGAAATCGCCATTTCCTGATTGCTAAAATTCTAATAGTTTTCCTAATTTCAGTTTATATGACAAAACAAGCAAGGATAGTATAGACATTTTACATTTTAGTCATTTAGCAGACGCTCTTATCCAGAGCGACTTACAGTTAGTGAGTGCATACATTTTTCATACTGGCCCCCCGTGGGAAACGATCCCACAACCCTGGCGTTGCAAGCGCCATGCTCTACCAACTGAGCTACAGGGTAACATTGAAATAACCCACATAGAACAGATCTACCGCTTCTCAGACTGTCTTTCAATGGGAATTACTGATCTATAACTAACATTTATTTGTGAATTTGGTCGGTTGTCCCAAAAAAACCATATTGCAGCTTAAAAAATATCCGAAAACTTTGTTGCTTGTAAAAATTTTCGGTAACACTTTACTTGACACCCAGCGTCATAACACGTAACGACACGGTCATAACCATGTCACAATATGTCACAACAGCTGCCATAACTTGTCATAACCTGTTATAATATGGTCATAACCCTGTCATAACCCATATATTTAGAGCTGTTGTGGCATATATTGCGTTATTTTATGACTGGTTATGACACCTACATAAGAGTGTCAAAACCCACAAAACCCACAAGGCAAAACATTCCATTACACCATAGCCTACCTGTCAACAGATGGTTGTTATATATATATTTGTTGTTGACCATATTAAATTAACATTGTAATTGTGCACACATTGATGTCAGACATGCACCTAACCCAATGCTCTATTGCTGATGACCGGGATGAATGCAGGAGCAGATTTCAGGAGCAGGACAAGACACCCTCTTATTGACTGATGACTGATATAAAGGCCTGTACGTGATAGGCCTATCAGGCTTATATGATTATGATGGTCATAATGCTTCTTGAAAGTGGCATAAAGGGTATTTTCTTAGTCCAAGTAAAGTGACACAGGATGGTCATAATGCTTCTTGACAGTGTCATAAAGTGTATTTTCTACAAGTTATTTAAAATGTGATGAAAAAAACATTACATTTACATTTACATTACATCATTACAACAACAACAAAGGATTTAAGAAACAAACTTTCAAACGAAAGGAAACTTCTTGGCAGGAAAAAAACACATTTGAATAAATGTAGGTGTCATAACCAGCCATAAAATAACGCAATATATGTCACAACAGGTGTAAATATATGGGTCATGGCAGGGTTATGACCCTATAATGACAGGTTATGACAAGTAATGTCACTGGGGGTTAAGTAAAGTTTTACAGAATGTTCTTGAGTTACTGGTAGGGAACAGTCGTATTATCTATTATACACCTGTTTGGGTTATTGACCATTTCTAGAGTGGCTCTCTATTTGCGCTCAGCATGCATTTGTTTCACCATTCTGAATGTCTACAGAATCCATATGTTCTTCTGAAATATGAACATAGAAATAGTGGACATTTTGAACTCTTATTATGGTGGTGATTTGACACAATTACTAACATGGTCTTGAATTGGACATGCATTTTTCTGGTCTCGGTCTTGGACCCCTCGTCCCCCTCCTGGTCTTGACTTGGTAATAATGTGCAAATGTTGCACAATCCAGGTGTGGAAAGCTCTTAGAGACTACCCAGAAAGACTCAGCTGTAATCGCTGCCAAAGGTGCTTCAACAAACTATTGACTACATTTTCACAATAAAATTAACAAATACATGTTTTTATTTTGTAATTATGGGGTATTGTGTGTAGATTGGTGAGAAAAAAATATTGAATCAATTTTGAATTCAGGCTGTAACACAACAAAATGTGAAATAAGTCAAAGGGGTATGAATACTTTCTGAAGGAACTGTAAATACACTCGGTACACTGGCTGTAGGAGAAACACTCTCAGGGCCACCTTTAGTATCTTTAAGTGGAGAGTCAAAATGGATCCCTAAACTTGGATGAACAATTGAGACACTCCTTTCATATCAATATGTAGCTATCTAGCGATAGCTACCTAAAGTAACTGTGTCTGCATCCAGACTAGCTAGCGATAGCTGCCTAAAGTAACTGTGTCTGCATCCAGACTAGCTAGCGATAGCTACCTAAAGTAACTGTGTCTGCATCCAGACTAGCTAGCGATAGCTACCTAAAGTAACTGTGTCTGCATCCAGACTAGCTAGCGATAGCTACCTAAAGTAACTGTGTCTGCATCCAGACTAGCTAGCGATAGCTACCTAAAGTAACTGTGTCTGCATCCAGACTAGCTAGCGATAGCTACCTAAAGTAACTGTGTCTGCATCCAGACTAGCTAGCGATAGCTACCTAAAGTAACTGTGTCTGCATCCAGACTGAGACTAGCTAGCGATAGCTACCTAAAGTAACTGTGTCTGCATCCAGACTAGCTAGCGATAGCTACCTAAAGTAACTGTGTCTGCATCCAGACTAGCTAGCGATAGCTACCTAAAGTAACTGTGTCTGCATCCAGACTAGCTAGCGATAGCTACCTAAAGTAACTGTGTCTGCATGCAGACTGAGACTAGCTAGCGATAGCTACCTAAAGTAACTGTGTCTGCATCCAGACTAGCTAGCGATAGCTACCTAAAGTAACTGTGTCTGCATCCAGACTAGCTAGCGATAGCTACCTAAAGTAACTGTGTCTGCATCCAGACTAGCTAGCGATAGCTACCTAAAGTAACTGTGTCTGCATGCAGACTGAGACTAGCTAGCGATAGCTACCTAAAGTAACTGTGTCTGCATCCAGACTAGCTAGCGATAGCTACCTAAAGTAACTGTGTATGCATCCAGACTAGCTAGCGATAGCTACCTAAAGTAACTGTGTCTGCATCCAGACTGAGACTAGCTAGCGATAGCTACCTAAAGTAACTGTGTCTGCATCCAGACTAGCTAGCGATAGCTACCTAAAGTAACTGTGTCTGCATCCAGACTAGCTAGCGATAGCTACCTAAAGTAACTGTGTCTGCATCCAGGCTGAGACTAGCTAGCGATAGCTACCTAAAGTAACTGTGTCTGCATCCAGACTAGCTAGCGATAGCTACCTAAAGTAACTGTGTCTGCATCCAGACTGAGACTAGCTAGCGATAGCTACCTAAAGTAACTGTGTCTGCATCCAGACTAGCTAGCGATAGCTACCTAAAGTAACTGTGTCTGCATCCAGACTAGCTAGCGATAGCTACCTAAAGTAACTGTGTCTGCATCCAGACTAGCTAGCGATAGCTACCTAAAGTAACTGTGTCTGCATCCAGACTGAGACTAGCTAGCGATAGCTACCTAAAGTAACTGTGTCTGCATCCAGACTAGCTAGCGATAGCTACCTAAAGTAACTGTGTCTGCATCCAGACTGAGACTAGCTAGCTAACAAACAATGATGCTAAAAACCATACAGCGACTGAAACACCATAAAAGCATGAGATAACCTTGCCAAGTAGCTAGCTAGCTACCAACCATTTTAAATTAACTCAAAGACATGGAATAGGCCTAGCTAAGTAGCGTCTATAGCAGGTCTAGCTAGCCAAACAGGGTGAAAAACCTAGTTTACGTGAAACAATGCACCACACAGTAGGCCCACACAAGCTTTCTACAGGCATTGACCAAACTTTAACAAAAACCTTACATTTTTGCTACCCCACACAGCACAGTAAAATAGCTTGCTAGCTAGCTAGCTAAGTTAGCAAATGTTATGTAGCATGCATGGGGTAGCTTGCTAGCGAAAATGATCTAAAATTGTCAATGACTGAGATAATATGTAATTATGATAGCTACATCTATTTAACCTGAAAGGATAATTAGTAACGTTAGCTTTTTACTCACAGTTTTTGGTTAGCCACAACGCCTTTCCCATTTGTCCGTCGAAAAGTAGGCCTAATTACACTCAGCACTGATAGACTTGCTACACCTGCAATAGTCCTCATTCACGAGTTTGCTGGATCACTTCGATCTTCTGAATTTGGCGGGAAAATTAACCCACTCACTGGGTCATATCTCAATAACCCAACATCAATAACCCAGCATCAACAACCCAACCTTGTTCTTTTTAAAGAAAACAACCCAACTAAAATCAAATAATTGTATTTGTCATATGCGCCGAATACAACAGGTGTAGACCTTACCGTGAAATACTTACTTACAAGCCCTTAACCAACAATGCAGTTCAAGAAATAGAGTTAAGAAAATATTTACCAAGTAAACTAAAGTAAAAAATGAAATAAAAAGTAACACAATAAAATAACAATAACGAGGCTATATACAGGGGGTACCGGTACCGAGTCAATGTTTGGGGGTAGAGGTTAGTCGAGGTAATATGTACATGTAGGGAGGGGTAAAGAGTCCGAGTGGCCATTTGATTAATTGTTCAGCAGTCTTATGGCTTGTGGGTAGAAGCTGTTAAGGAGCCTTTTGGACCTAGACTTGGCACTCTGGTACCGCTTGCCGTGCGGTAGCAGAGAGAACAGTCTATGACTTGGGTGACCGGAGTCTTTGACCATTAGGTCCTTCCTCTGACACCGCCTGGTATAGAGGTCCTGGATGGCAGGAAGCTTGGCCCCAGTGATGTACTGGGCCCTACGCACTACCCTCTGTAGTGCCTTATGGTTGGATGCCGAGCAGTTGCCATACCAGGCGGTGATGCAACTGGTCAGGATGCTGTCAATGGTGCAGCTGTATAACTTTTTGAGGATCTGGGGACACATTCCAAATCTTTCAGTCTCCTGAGGGGGAAAAGGTGTTGTCGTGCCCTCTTCATGACTGTCTTGGTGTGTTTGGACCATGATAGTTTGTTGGTGTTTTTGACACCAAGGAACTTGAAACTCTCGACCCGCTCCACTACAGGCCCGTCGATATCAATGGGGGCGTGCTCTGTCCTCCTTTTCCTGTAGTCCACGATCAGCTCCTTTGTCTTACTCACGTTGAGGGAGAGGTTGTTGTCCTGGAACCACACTGCCAGGTCTCTGACCTCCTCCCTATAGGCTGTCTCATCGTTGTCGGTGATCAGGCCTACCACCGTTGTGTCGTCAGCAAACTTAATGATGGTGTTGGAGTCGTGCCTGGCCACGCAGTCGTGGGTGACTAGGGAGTACAGGAGGAGACTAAGCACACACCACTGAGGGGCCCCCGTGTTGAGGATCAGCGTGGCAGATGTGTTGTTACCTACTCTTACCACCTGGGGGCGGCCCGTCAGGAAGTCCAGGATCCAGTTGCAGAGGGAGGTGTTAAGTCCCAGGGTCCTTAGCTTAGTGATGAGCTTTGTGGGCACTATGGTGTTGACCCCTGAGCTGTAGTCAATGAACAGCATTCTCCCATAGGTGTTCCTTTTGTCCAGGTGGGAAAGGGCAGTGTGGAGTGCGATTGAGATGGCATCATCTGTGGATCTGTTGGGGTGGTATGCGAATTGGAGTGGGTCTAAGGTGTCCGGGATGATGGTGTTGATGTGAGTCATGACCAGCCTTTCAAAGTACTTCATGGCTACAGACATCAGTTCTACGGGTTGGTAGTCATTTAGGCAGGTTATCTTAGTGTCCTTGGGCATGGGGACTATGGTGGTCTGCTTGAAACATGTTGGTATTACCGACTGAGTCAGGGAGAGGTTGAAAATGTCAGTGAAGACACTTGCCAGTTGGTCCGCGCATGCTTTGAGTATACGTCCTGGTAATCCGACTGGCCCCGCAGCCTTGTGAATGTTGACCTGTTTAAAGGTCTTGCTCACATCAGGTACAGAGAACATGATCACACAGTCATCCGGAACAGCTGGTGCTCTCATGCATGCTTCAGTGTTGGTTGCCTCGAAGCGAGCATAAAAGGCATTTAGCTCATCTGGTAGGCTCGTGCCACTGGGCAGCTCACGCCTGGGTTTCCCTTTGTAGTCCGTACTAATTTGCAAGCCCTGCCACATCCGATTAGCTTCAGAGCCGGTGTCGTAGGATTAAATCTTAGTCCTGTATTGACTCTTTGCCTGTTTGATGGTTCGTCGGAGGGCATAGCGGGATTTCTTATAAGTGTCCGGGTTAGAGTCCCGCTCCTTGAAAGCAGCAGCTCTACCCTTTAGCTCAGTGTGGATGTTGCCTGTAATCCATGGCTTCTGGTTGGGATAAGTACGTACGGTCACTGTGGGGACGACGTCGTCGATGCACTTATTGATGAAGCCGTTGACTGAGGTGGTATACTCCTCAATGCCATTGGATGAATCCCAGAACATATTCCAGTCTGTGCTAGCAAAACAGTCCTGTAGCGTAGCATCCGCGTCATCTGACCACTTCCGTATTGAGCGAGTCACTGGTACTTCCTGCTTTAGTTTTTGCTTGTAAGCAGGAATCAGGAGGATAGAATTATGGTCGGAACCTAAGTGAGACAATGCCTGCAACTCAGCAGTTGGCTCATCCAAACAACCCAGCAGTTGGGTCCAGTTGGGTCAACCAAACAACCCAGCAGTTGGGTCCAGTTGGGTCAACCAAACAACCCAGCAGTTGGGTCCAGTTGGGTCAACCAAACAACCCAGCAGTTGGGTCCAGTTGGGTCAACCAAACAACCCAGCAGTTGGGTCATCCAACCAACCCAGCAGTTGGGTCAACCAAACAACCCAGCAGTTGGGTCAACCAAACAACCCAGCAGTTGGGTCCAGTTGGGTCAACCAAACCACCCAGCAGTTGGGTCATTCAAACAACCCAGCAGTTGGGTCAACCAAACAACTCAGCAGTTGGGTCATTCAAACAACCCAGCATTTTCTAGTGTGCCTATTACAATTGGATTAGTTGCGAAACGCTATATTTTGTCATACTCGTTTTTGATTGGCTTAAAGGGCATTCTAGCGTGTGTATTATTTCCCTATAATGCACGGTATAATTCAATGGCTATGAAGTTCATTCTTACATGTTCTATGTTTGAGCTGCTTTTGAAGGCAAGAGTCAAATTGAAGGCATTATTGTCATTATTGTCATTATTGAATTTGATTTTCATAATAGCAAGCTAGGGCTGATGGTCTGGGAAGGCTTTCCACTAGATGTTGGAACATTGCTGCGGGGACTTTTTCCCATTCAGCCACAAGAGCATTAGTGAGGATGTGCAAAGCTGTCATCAAGGCAAAGGATGGCTATTTGAAGTATCTCAAATATAAAATATATATTGATTTGTTTAACACTTTTTTGGTTACTACATGATTCCATAGGTGTTATTTCATAGTTTCGATGTCTTCACATTATTCTACAATGTAAAACATAGTAAAAATAAAGAAAAACCCTTGAATGAGTAGGTGTGTCCAAACTTTTGACTGGTACTGTATATACATATTAAGAGACCACTGCAAAAATATAAGTTTCTCTGGTTTTACTATTTATAGGTATGTGTTTGGGTGAAATTAACATGTTTGTTTTATTCTATAAACTACTGACAACATTTCTCCCAAATTCCAAATAAAAATATTGTCGAAGGATTACTTTATCCTATCCCAGGTATTCCTTAAAGAGGTGGGGTTTCAAATGCCTCCGGAAGGTGGTGAGTGACTCCGCTGTCCTGGCGTCGTGAGGGAGCTTGTTCCACCATTGGGGTGCCAGAGCAGCGAACAGTTTTGACTGGGCTGAGCGGGAACTATGCTTCCGCAGAGGAAGGGGAGCCAGCAGGCCAGAGGTGGATGAACGCAATGCCCTCGTTTGGGTGTAGGGACTGATCAGAGCCCGAAGGTACAGAGGTGCCGTTCCCCTCACTCATTCAAGCAGCTCGGCTTTGTTTGATGGCTTGTGACCATCCATCTTCCTCTTGATCACATTCCAGAAGTTTTCAATGGGGTTCAGGTCTGGAGATTTGGCTGGCCATGACAGGGTCTTGATCTGGTGGTCCTCCATCTACACCTTGATTGACCTGGCTGTGTGGCATGGCGCATTGTCCTGCTGGAAAAACCAATCCTCAGAGTTGGGGAACAATGTCAGAGCAAAAGGAAGCAAGTTTTCTTCCATGACAACCTTGTACGTGGCTTGATTCATGCGTCCTTCACAAAGACAAATCTGCCCGATTCCAGCCTTGCTGAAGCACCCCCAGATCATCACCGATCCTCCACCAAATTTCACAGTGGGTGCGAGACACTGTGGCTTGTAGGCCTCTCCAGGTCTGTCTAACCATTAGACAACCAGGTGTTGGGCAAAGCTGAAAATTGGACTCATCAGAGAAGATGACCTTACTCCATTCCTCTACGGTCCAATCTTTATGGTCTTTTGCAAACCTCAGCCTGGCTCTTCTTTGCTTCTCATTGATGAAGGGCTTTTTTCTAGCTTTGCACGACTTCAGCCCTGCCCCTAGGAGCCTGTTTCGAACCGTCCTCACCGTGCACTTCACCCCAGCTGCCGTTTGCCATTCTTTTTGTAGGTCACTTGATGTCATCCTGCGGTTGTTGAGTGACATTCGAATGAGTTGGCGGTCATTCCGGTCAGTAGAGAATCATTTTCGCCCTCTGCTGGTCTGTAGCTTTGTTGTCCCCAATGTCTGCTGCTTGACCTTGTTCTTATGAACCGCCGTCTTTGAAATTTTGAGGATGGAAGCAACCTGAAGCTCACTGTATCCCTCTGCCAGTAAAGCCAGAATTGAACCCTTCGTTTCCTCACTCAAAAGTTATTTTTTGATTAATATTACTTTTGAGGTATATTAGCACTGTTTTTGCCATCCAGCTGGTCCTATTGCAAGAGGATAGTGATGACCACAGCAGTGGTTTTTATACTTTTCCTCGTTAAATAAGATTTGGTTCATGTGATCACCTAATCAGTACCTAATTCAGTAGAATGAGGTGTGCCTGTGTTGGAATTCAACAGACACTGGAATGGAATAGCTGTCATATATGTAGAGATGCTGATTTCAGAAAAATGTGCAGTGGTCTCTTAATTTTTTCCACAGCTGTGTATATATATATATATATATATATATATATATCCTGCATACAGGCTATCCTGTATACTGATATACAGTGCATTCAGAATGTATTCAGACCCCTTGACTTTTTCCACATTTTGTTTCGTTACAGCCTAATTCTAAAATGGATTAAATAAATACATTCTCATCAATCTACACACAATACCCCATAATGACAAAGCGAAAACAGGTTTTTTTAAATTTTAGCAGATTTATAAAATTTAAAAACAGAAATTCCTCATTTACATAAGTATTCAGACCCTTTGCTATAAGACTCGAAATTGAGCTCAGGTGCATCCTGTTTCCATTGATCATCGTTGAGATGTTTGTACAACTTGATTGGAGTCCACCTGTGGTAAATTCAATTGATTGGACATGATTTGGAAAGGCACACACCTGTCTATATAATGTCCCACAGTTGACAGTGCATGTCAGAGCAAAAACCAAGCCATGAGGTCGAAGGAATTGTCCGTAGAGCTCAGAGTCAAGATTGTGTCGAGGCACAGATCTGGGGAAGGGTACGAAAAAATGTCGGCAGCATTGAAGGTCCCCAAGAACACAGTGGCCTCCATCATTCTTAAATGGAAGAAGTTTAGAACCACCAAGACTCTTCCTCTTTCTGTTTTGTATGGTGTTCCTCGTATTGCGAATCCCATAAGCCCCACTGGACTCGTCTGAAGTCGGTACCGCCGATGTGCCAGCTTCTATCTGTAGTGTCCAAACCGTTTGGGTTACGAACTAATATGACTAATACTAATACTACTAGCGCGCACCGCTAACTAGCTAGCCATTTCACACCGGTTACACTTGGACCAGTCTGTCTCTGTAGCACCTGGAAAGAGACGGATAGAGTTAGTGAGTGTGCTCACCCCTGACCTCCCATTGGCCCAGGGCCTCCTGCCTAACCCTCCCCCTGACCTCCCATTGGCCCAGGGCCTCCTGCCTAACCCTCCCCCTGACCTCCCATTGGCCCAGGGCCTCCTGCCTAACCCTCCCCCTGACCTCCCATTGGCCCAGGGCCTCCTGCCTAACCCTCCCCCTGACCTCCCATTGGCCCAGGGCCTCCTGCCTAACCCTCCCCCTGACCTCCCATTGGCCCAGGGCCTCCTGCCTAACCCTCCCCCTGACCTCCCATTGGCCCAGAGCCTCCTTCCTAACCCTCCCCCTGACCTCCCATTGGCCCAGAGCCTCCTTCCTAACCCTCCCCTGACCTCCCATTGGCCCAGAGCCTCCTTCCTAACCCTCCCCCTGACCTCCCATTGGCCCAGGGGCTCCTTCCTAACCCTCTCCCTGACCTCCCATTGGCCCAGAGCCTCCTTCCTAACCCTCCCCTGACCTCCCATTGGCCCAGAGCCTCCTTCCTAACCCTCCCCCTGACCTCCCATTGGCCCAGGGGCTCCTTCCTAACCCTCTCCCTGACCTCCCATTGGCCCAGAGCCTCCTGCCTAACCCTCCCCCTGACCTCCCACTGGTCCAGGGCCTCCTGCCTAACCCTCCCCTGACCTCCCATTGGCCCAGAGCCTCCTGCCTAACCCTCTAGCCAGTCTCTCTGACAGGGAGTTACTGCAGTAGTAGACTGTTGTATGGTGCAGAGGGTTTCTCCACTCCTCATGAGTGTAGTATTAGCTCTTGAAATGGTATAATGCAATGTAAAGGAACAAATAATATCATGATTTACTGACATGGAGTGCTCCATGTTCCTGCTGACATTCATACATCCAGTCTATTTCTACTATTTATCTTCTTAAAATCCGATTTTAATCCTAAGCCTAACCACACTAATTACCTTGTACCTAACCTGAAATGAAGACCAAAAAGCAAAATATTATTTTCATGATTTTTTACGATTTGGCCAATTTTGACTTTGTGGCTGTGGTAACTAGTGGAAACCCAACAGAGCTGATAATAATAATAATAATATAATATGCCATTTAGCAGACGCTTTTATCCAAAGCGACTTACAGTCATGCGTGCATACATTTTTTTTTGTGTATGGGTGGTCCCGGGGATCGAACCCACTACCTTGGCGTTACAAGCGCCGTGCTCTACCAGCTGAGCTACAGAGGACCACATGATGCACGCCATTTTGTGATAATGGTTACGACAAATGACATGGCATCCATGTGAATTTATAGCGCAGCTATTATTTATATTATGGCACCACGTATCACTTCACTAACAATTGCTACCTTGACTTATTCCATCATGACATCAACATGCTCCTTATTTGACTGTAGTTAGCTGCTAGCTTAGCCAGATGCAGCCTGTGATTGAGGACGGGCTAATTTAGCAGCCAAACTGCTTCAAATAGGGTGATTAGCCTAGGTAGCTAGCTAACTAAATAATAACCCTATTAACTCTAGAAGTATCGACTCTATTGCTTAATTCAGAAAGTAGGCTTCACCTCATTAGCTTGCTTGCTAGCTAGACGTGATCGAGCTAATGTGAGCTAGCTAGCAAACATGCATTGTTTCTGACATGCAACGATCCTGCTTACTTTACATTTGACAGATATTTAGCTACTGTAGCTAGCTTCTAAGATAATGGTTTATGATAATTGCAGTTAGTTCATTATCTAGCTAGCTAACTAGTTAGCTAAGTGTAAAATGCAGCTAGCTAGCTAACCAACTAGGCAGTTATCAAAGATATTCAGTTGGTAATTTACCATACTTTTCTGACCAACTAGACAATGCTACTAATTGTTGCCTGCTCCCGTCTATCTTCAGATCTTCTTCTAGGTTCAAACGATATGGCTGTAGTCTGGTGCTTCATTGTCAAAAGAAACCCACTCGCACACTGCCATCTGGTGCATTTAGAAGATGATGGAACAAAAAACAAAATAGAAAAACGCATGTTTTTTTTGTCTGTAATATATTTTACCAGATCTAATGTGTTATATTCTCCTACATTAATTTCACATTTCCACAAACTTCAAAGTTTTTCCTTTCAAATGGTATCAAGAATATGCATATCCTTGCTTCAACTCCTGAGCTACAGGCAGTTAGATTTGGGTCATTTTAGGTGAAAATTGAAAAAAAGGGTCCAATCCTTAATTTTACTTTTTTACATTTTTAGTCATTTAGCAGACGCTCTTATCCAGAGCGACTTACAGGAGCAATTAGGGTTAAGTGCCTTGCTCAAGGGCTTGCTCAGGCTCCATTAATCCACCAGGAATAGATCACGCTCCATACATCTACCAGGAATAGATCACGCTCCATACATCTACCAGGAATAGATCACGCTCCATACATCTACCAGGAATAGATCACGCTCCATACATCCACCAGGAATAGATCACTCTCCATACATCCACCAGGAATAGATCACGCTCCATACATCCACCAGGAATAGATCACGCTCCATACATCTACCAGGAATTGTCACGCCCTGGCTCTGGGGACACTGTTATGTTGAGCCAGGGTGTGTAGATCTATGTTCCCTATTTCTATGTTGGCCTGAGTGACTCCCAATCAGAGGCAACGAGTGTCAGCTGTTTGCTGGTTGTCTCTGATTGGGAGCCATATTTATACTGTCGGTTTTTCCTTTGGTTTTGTGGGTTCTTGTTTCGAGTTGGTTGTGTTATACCGTGTACTGTCACGTTTCCGTCTTTTGTTGTTTTGATATCGTTTCGCTTAATAAATGAGTATGTTTGCCTGCAACGCTGCGCCTTGGTCTACTCCTTACCCTGGCGATCGTGACAGAAGAACCCACCAAAACTGGACCAAGCAGCGAGTCGAGGAGCCATCACCAGGGAAATCCCTAGCAGATCTCCGTGGCAGCCTCGACTGGGTCAAGCCGAGTGAAGAGCGGAGAGAGTGGACTTGGGAACAATGGATTAAGAGTCTCGACTGGGCCAAGCCAAGTGAAGAGCAGAGAGGTTGGACTTTGAAGCAGTGGGGTGAGAGTCTGGCGAGAACTAGGGAGGCCTGGTCCACGGGGAGGAGAGAACCCCAGAAAATTTTTAGGGGGGGGCTCATGACGTGGACGACGGGGCAGCAGGACTCCGCGATGGAGCAGTCCAGCGGGTGTGCAGAGGAGGCCGCCAGGTTAAGGGGGCCACTGGTCACAGAGGAGAGGGAAAGTGTGGAGGCACGGCGAGAGGTACTGGGGTGTGTTACCAGTCCGGTCCGGCCCGTTCCTGATACCTGCGTAGGGCCAGTGGTGTGTGTCCCCAGTACGGTCCGGCCTGTTCCTGTTCCTCGCATCGAGCCTGTGGTGCGTGTCGTCAGCCCGGCCCGGCCTGTTCCTGCTCCCCGCACCAAACCTATGGTGCGCGTCGCCAGCCCGGTCCGGCCCGTTCCTGCTCCCCGCACCAAGTCTGGGGTGCGTTTCGTCAGCCCTGTCCGGCCCGTTCCTGCTCTCCGCACCAAGTCTGTGGTGCGCGTCGCCAGCCCGGTCCGGCCTGTTCCTGCTCCCCGCACCAAACCTGTGGTGCGTTTCGTCAGCCCTGTCCGGCCCGTTCCTGCTCTCCGCACCAAGTCTGTGGTGCGCGTCGCCAGCCTGGTCCGGCCCGTTCCTGCTCTACGCATCAAGTCTGTGGTGCGCGTCGCCAGCCCAGTCCGGCCCATTCCTGCTCCACGCACCAAGCAAGGGGTGCGTATCGTCAGCCCGGTCCGGCCAGTTGCTACTCCACGCACCAAGCCAGGGGTGCGCATCGTCAGCCCGGTCCGGTCCATTCCTGCTCCACGCACCAAGCCAGGGGTGCGCATCGTCAGCCCGGTCCGGTCCGTTCCTGTTCCACGCACCAAGCCAGGGGTGCGTGTCGTCAGTCCGGCTCCGGCCAGCGGGGCCAGACCGGACCAGGGGTACTTTGGGGGGTTGGAGAGGAAGTGGGGATCAGGCCCAGAGCCGGATTCGCCGCCAAGGCGGAGTGCCCACCCGGTCCCTCCCCTGTGGTATGTAGTTGGCTCGGTCGGAGTCCGCGCCTTTAGGGGGGGGTACTGTCACGCCCTGGCTCTGGGGACACTGTTATGTTGAGCCAGGGTGTGTAGATCTATGTTCCCTATTTCTATGTTGGCCTGAGTGACTCCCAATCAGAGGCAACGAGTGTCAGCTGTTTGCTGGTTGTCTCTGATTGGGAGCCATATTTATACTGTCGGTTTTTCCTTTGGTTTTGTGGGTTCTTGTTTCGAGTTGGTTGTGTTATACCGTGTACTGTCACGTTTCCGTCTTTTGTTGTTTTGATATCGTTTCGCTTAATAAATGAGTATGTTTGCCTGCAACGCTGCGCCTTGGTCTACTCCTTACCCTGACGATCGTGACAGGAATAGATCACGCTCCATACATCTACCAGGAATAGATCAGGCTCCATTAATCTACCAGGAATAGATCACGCTCCATACATCTACCAGGAATAGATCACGCTCCATACATCTACCAGGAATAGATCACGCTCCGTACATCTACCAGGAATAGATCACGCTCCATACATCTACCAGGAATAGATCACGCTCCATACATCTACCAGGAATAGATCACGCTCCATACATCTACCAGGAATAGATCACGCTCCGTACATCTACCAGGAATAGATCACGCTCCATACATCTACCAGGAATAGATCACGCTCCGTACATCTACCAGGAATAGATCACGCTCCATACATCCACCAGGAATAGATCACGCTCCATACATCTACCAGGAATAGATCACGCTCCATACATCTACCAGGAATAGATCACGCTCCATACATCCACCAGGAATAGATCACGCTCCGTACATCTACCAGGAATAGATCACGCTCCGTACATCTACCAGGAATAGATCAAGCTCCATACATCTACCAGGAATAGATCATGCTCCATACATCTACCAGGAATAGATCACGCTCCATACATCCACCAGGAATAGATCACGCTCCATACATCTACCAGGAATAGATCAGGCTCCATACATCTACCAGGAATAGATCACGCTCCATACATCCACCAGGAATAGATCACGCTCCGTACATCTACCAGGAATAGATCACGCTCCGTACATCCACCAGGAATAGATCACGCTCCGTACATCTACCAGGAATAGATCAAGCTCCATACATCTACCAGGAATAGATCACGCTCCGTACATCTACCAGGAATAGATCACGCTCCATACATATACCAGGAATAGATCACGCTCCATACATCTACCAGGAATAGATCACGCTCCGTACATCTACCAGGAATAGATCACGCTCCATACATCTACCAGGAATAGATCACGCTCCATACAGCTACCAGGAATAGATCACGCTCCATACATCCACCAGGAATAGATCACGCTCCGTACATCTACCAGGAATAGATCACGCTCCATACATCTACCAGGAATAGATCACGCTCCATACATATACCAGGAATAGATCACGCTCCATACATCTACCAGGAATAGATCAAGCTCCATTAATCTACCAGGAATAGCTCAAGCTCCATACATCTACCAGGAATAGATCAAGCTCCATACATCTACCAGGAATAGCTCAAGCTCCATTAATCTACCAGGAATAGCTCAAGCTCCATTAATCCACCCAGGAATAGCTCAAGCTCCATTAATCCACCCAGGATCCACCCAGGAATAGATCAAGCTCCATTAATCCACCCAGGAATAGATCAAGCTACATTAATCCACCCAGGAATAGCTCAAGCTCCATACATCTACCAGGAATAGATCAAGCTCCATACATCTACCAGGAATAGCTCAAGCTCCATTAATCTACCAGGAATAGCTCAAGCTCCATTAATCCACCCAGGAATAGCTCAAGCTCCATTAATCCACCCAGGAATAGCTCAAGCTCCATTAATCCACCCAGGAATAGATCAAGCTCCATTAATCCACCCAGGAATAGATCAAGCTACATTAATCCACCCAGGAATAGCTCAAGCTCCATACATCTACCAGGAATAGATCAAGCTCCATACATCTACCAGGAATAGCTCAAGCTCCATTAATCTACCAGGAATAGCTCAAGCTCCATTAATCCACCCAGGAATAGCTCAAGCTCCATTAATCCACCCAGGAATAGATCAAGCTCCATTAATCCACCCAGGAATAGATCAAGGTCCATTAATCCACCCAGGAATAGCTCAAGCTCCATTAATCCACCCAGGAATAGCTCAAGCTCCATTAATCTACCAGGAATAGCTCAAGCTCCATTAATCCACCCAGGAATAGCTCAAGCTCCATTAATCCACCCAGGAATAGATCAAGCTCCATTTATCTACCCAGGAATAGATCAAGCTCCATTAATCCACCCAGGAATAGATCAAGCTACATTAATCCACCCAGGAATAGCTCAAGCTCCATACATCTACCAGGAATAGATCAAGCTCCATACATCTACCAGGAATAGCTCAAGCTCCATTAATCTACCAGGAATAGCTCAAGCTCCATTAATCCACCCAGGAATAGCTCAAGCTCCATTAATCCACCCAGGAATAGCTCAAGCTCCATTAATCCACCCAGGAATAGATCAAGCTCCATTAATCCACCCAGGAATAGATCAAGCTACATTAATCCACCCAGGAATAGCTCAAGCTCCATACATCTACCAGGAATAGATCAAGCTCCATACATCTACCAGGAATAGCTCAAGCTCCATTAATCTACCAGGAATAGCTCAAGCTCCATTAATCCACCCAGGAATAGCTCAAGCTCCATTAATCCACCCAGGAATAGATCAAGCTCCATTAATCCACCCAGGAATAGATCAAGATCCATTAATCCACCCAGGAATAGCTCAAGCTCCATTAATCCACCCAGGAATAGCTCAAGCTCCATTAATCTACCAGGAATAGCTCAAGCTCCATTAATCCACCCAGGAATAGCTCAAGCTCCATTAATCCACCCAGGAATAGATCAAGCTCCATTTATCTACCCAGGAATAGATCAAGCTCCATTAATCTACCCAGGAATAGATCAAGCTCCATTAATCCAACCAGGAATAGATCAAGCTCCATTAACCAACCAGGAATATATCAAGCTCCATTAATCCACCCAGGAATAGATAAAGCTCCATTAATATACCAGGAATAGATCAAGCTCCATTAATCCACCCAGGAATAGATCAATTTCCATTAATCCACCCAGGAATAGCTCAAGCTCCATTAATCCACCCAGGAATAGCTCAAGCTCCATTAATCTACCAGGAATAGCTCAAGCTCCATTAATCCACCAAGGAATAGCTCAAGCTCCATTAATCCACCCAGGAATAGATCAAGCTCCATTAATCTACCCAGGAATATATCAAGCTCCATTAATCCACCCAGGAATAGATCAAGCTCCATTTATCTACCCAGGAATAGATCAAGCTCCATTAATCTACCCAGGAATAGATCAAGCTCCATTAATCCAACCAGGAATAGATCAAGCTCCATTAACCAACCAGGAATATATCAAGCTCCATTAATCCACCCAGGAATAGATAAAGCTCCATTAATATACCAGGATTAGATCAAGCTCCATTAATCCACCCAGGAATAGATCAATTTCCATTAATCCACCCAGGAATAGCTCAAGCTCCATTAATCCACCCAGGAATAGCTCAAGCTCCATTAATCTACCAGGAATAGCTCAAGCTCCATTAATCCACCCAGGAATAGCTCAAGCTCCATTAATCCACCCAGGAATAGATCAAGCTCCATTAATCTACCCAGGAATATATCAAGCTCCATTAATCTACCCAGGAATAGATCAAGCTCCATTAATCCAACCAGGAATAGATCAAGCTCCATTAACCAACCAGGAATAGATCAAGCTCCATTAATCTACCAGGAATAGCTCAAGCTCCATTAATCCACCCAGGTTTAGATCAAGCTCCATTAATCCACGCAGGAGTAGATCAAGCTCCATTAATATATGCAGGAATAAATCACGCTCCATTAATCTACCAGGAATAGATTAAATTCCATTAATCCAACCAGGAATATATCAAGCTCCATCAATCTACCAGGAATAGATCAAGCTCCATTAATCTACCAGAAATAGATTCAGCTCCATGAATCCATCCATGAGTAAATTAAGATCCATTAATCCACCCAGGAATATATCAAGCTCCATTAATCTACCCAGGAATAGATCAAGCTCCGTTGATCTACAAGGAAAAGATAAAGCTCCATCAATCTACCCAGGAATAGATCAAGATCCATTAATCCACCCAATAGTATATCAAGCTTCATTAACTATTTCTATTTTGGGGGTAACTTTGTATTTGAAGTTCTCTGCAGTCCCAGTCAGACAGATAGCCTAACCATCTTGATTTTATGTTTAACAGAGATCTTCTATGACTAAAGTGACGCGGAAGGGCAAAAAAGCATCTAACGATCTCAAGACTACGAAGGCTCAGGGAAACGATTCCCTGATTGCGTTCAGCGTTGTTTTGAGAGCAGTGTTGTCCAGAGAAAGGATAGAACACAGAGATAGAACACAGGGATAGAACACAGGGATAGAACACAGGGATAGAACACAGGGATAGAACACAGAGATAGAACACAGGGATAAAACACAGGGATAGAACGCAGGGATAGAACACAGAGATAGAACACAGGGATAGAACACGGGGATAGAACACAGGGATAGAACATAGGGATAGAACACAGGGATAGAACACAGAGATAGAACACAGAGATAGAACACAGGGATAGAACACAGGGATAGAACACAGGGATAGAACACAGGGATAGAACGCAGGGATAGAACACAGGGATAGAACACAGGGATAGAACACAGAGATAGAACACAGGGATAGAACACGGGGATAGAACACAGGGATAGAACATAGGGATAGAACACAGGGATAGAACACAGAGATAGAACACAGAGATAGAACACAGGGATAGAACACAGGGATAGAACACAGGGATAGAACACAGAGATAGAACGCAGGGATAGAACACAGAGATAGAACGCAGGGATAGAACACAGAGATAGAACACAGGGATAGAACACAGGGATAGAACACAGAGATAGAACACAGGGATAGAACACAGGGATAGAACACAGGGATAGAACACAGGGATAGAACACAGAGATAGAACACAGGGATAGAACACATGGATAGAACACAGAGATAGAACACAGGGATAGAACACAGGGATAGAACACAGGGATAGAACCGTAGAATTACATATAAAATCCATAGAAGTAATTTAACAGAATCTCTGTGGATTAAGAACACAACACTCTTAGAATAAAAGGTTCTGGATAGAACCAAAAAGGTTCTATGCTTGCTTCGTATATGCCCCCCCTAAATGTTCTATAAAGAACCAAAATTGATTCCATATAGAACCCTATATGGAACCCAAGGGTTCTATATGGATCCAATTTTGGTTCAGTGGGGTTGTGATCAAAGAACCATACAAAAGGGTTCTATATAGAAGCTTTAGGGATGCCATATATGAAGCATGCAATATAATCCTTATTGGTTCTACCCAGAACCTTTTTTTCTGAGAGTGAAGGATAGAACACAGGGCATTGAGGTGAAATTGGTATCGACTTCACATCAGGCCCATTTCAGTGTGAGGGATGATGGGATGTATTCAGAAAGAGTACAGTACTCCAGACTGGACAGCTTCTAATCGAATGTAATCACCATCATTTCTCCACGGAGTAAACTCTCAGTGAAATGTTACCAAGCAACAGCCAATCTGTTTACAACATGTGGTCAAAGACCATTGATGGGAGATTCCTCACTGACACACAGTGACACACTCAGCACTTCCTGCTAAGAGCTTTTCGAGGAGAAAAAAAAGTAAATGGTCATAAATTGCAGAGTGGTGGACAAGTTGATAATCTCTTTAGCCTGTTCTAGACCTCCATGTTGCGTTCCTCCTCCTTGAGTGTCTAGGCCTTGGGCCCTCCGCTTGCAGTCAGGTGGAGAAAGGCGCTGGCAAATGGAGATTCATGTTAGCTCATTGAATTCATCTCCATCTTCCAGGTTGTACTATTTGACATGTCACTGATCCAAAGTGAATAGTATGACTGTGTTGTAGTAAAATGATGTTGATATTTCTGAGCTGTCTAAGTAGCTGTCTGAATGAGGATGTGTTTCTGTGTTCTCTGTAGTCCTGACTGAGGACGCGTCGGGGGATCACTCCGGCGGGGAGAACGGTGGTGGTAGCGGCAGTGAGAAGGACCAGGACCCTAGCAGCTCCCCCGAGGGCTCCAAGCCTTCTTGCTACACCCCCGAGCCCCCGGACACCCCGAACCAGGCAGAGGATTGCCGCTACAGCTTCCCCTTGCCCCTCTCCAGCCTCCCTCTCCCCCTGGCCTTCCCCAAGACCTGCAGCACCTCTCCAGAGCCTAAGGCAGACAGCCCCCCTAAGGCCTACCCCGGGGTTGGGGCAGGGGGACTACCAGGGGACCACAGCCTGGTGATTGAGGGCCTGTCTGGGTCTGTCTCCCTCCCCTTCAACCTGCGAGCCAACCGGCCACCCCTGGAGGTGCTGAAGAAGATCTTCCCATCCCACAAGCCCCCGGTTCTGGAATTGATCCTGCAGGGGTGTGGAGGGGACCTGGTGGGGGCCATCGAGGTGCTGCTGTCCAGCCAGGCCCAGGAGGCCAGGGGGGGTCATCCCCACAGCCAGAACCCCCACCCCGACACCCTGGTCCTTCCCTCTAATGGCCACCTCCTCGATCACCCCCTGGGGTCCTACCACCCTCTGGCCTCCTCTGCCAAGTGGTCTGTGGGCTCTGCCTTCAGGGTGCCTGAGTCCCTGCGCTTCTCGTCTGACTCGTCGTCCGGCCCCCTGGCCCTACACCCTGGGTCTTTCCCCCAGCCGCCCCGCTACCCCCTGATGCTAAGGAACTCTCTGACCCGCGGCGGCCAGGCCGGACCCTTCTGCAACGACGTGACGCTGTGGAACACAATGACACTGCAGCAGCAGTACCAGCTCAGGTCAGCTCAGTACGTCTCTCCTTTCTCCTCCGCTGGGGTCTTCCAACGCTCTCCGCTCCTCTCCTCCTCCTCCTCCTCCTCCTCCTCTCCGCTCCTCTCCTCCTCCCGCCCCCAGGAGGAGCACCGTCTCTCCCAGCTGGAGGAGGGCTGCCCTCCCGCCCCCATCCCCCCCATTCTCCCCACCCCCGGGGCCAAACAGACCCTCTACACCCATGAGGAGGAGTACGAGGACCGCTCCGACTCCTCCGACTCACGAATTCTCAACTCCTCCACCTGAACTTCCTGAACCACCTGAACCTATGGGTTATATCTCTACCCCTGAACCTATGGGTTATATCTCTACACCTGAACCTATGGGTTATATCTCTACACCTGAACCTATGGGTTATATCTCTACACCTGAACCTATGGGTTATATCTCTACACCTGAACCTATGGGTTATATCTCTACACCTGAACCTATGGGTTATATCTCTACACCTGAACCTATGGGTTATATCTCTACCCCTGAACCTATGGGTTATATCTCTACACCTGAACCTATGGGTTATATCTCTACCCCTGAACCTATGGGTTATATCTCTACACCTGAACCTATGGGTTATATCTCTACCCCTGAACCTATGGGTTATATCTCTACACCTGAACCTATGGGTTATATCTCTACACCTGAACCTATGGGTTATATCTCTACACCTGAACCTATGGGTTATATCTCTACCCCTGAACCTATGGGTTATATCTCTACACCTGAACCTATGGGTTATATCTCTACACCTGAACCTATGGGTTATATCTCTACACCTGAACCAATGAAACAATGAACCTATGAAACAATGAATCATGCCACACTGGCTACTTATGCACCAAAACTGTCTTGTGAACAAATCTTTAATGTGAATAATGCAAGACTGGGTATCAGGACAGGTTGCCTCGTTGCAAGACTGGGTATCAAGACAGGTTGCCTCGTTGCAAGACTGGGTATCAAGACAGGTTGCCTCGTTGCAAGACTGGGTATCAAGACAGGTTGCCTCGTTGCAAGACTGGGTATCAAGACAGGTTGTTGTCTCGTTTGAACTGAACTTTGTTGCGCAGCCATCGGTCCCCTACAGGTAATGTAGCTGAATGCTAGGTTGTAACATTATCTCGCTACAGGTAATGTAGCTGAATGCTAGGCTGTACCATTATCACATGGATATGACCAAAAAGAATGAATGTAAAAGAATGGGGTAGATCGTGTGTTTGTGAACATTAATCTCTTTCCAGACAGTATGCATGTAATGTACTGTGAATAATCATATGTCCTTGATGTTAAGATCTGATGCATGTCAAGATTATTAATAAACATAGGTAATAATGACAACACATTGTGTCCTCTTTATTGCCAAGAAGTGGATCAATGAATTCCAAATGCAATTGGTGCAAATTGGCTGTTATACTTAATGAATGGAATACTATAATGTAGTATAATGTAGAATAACCCCCTAGAGCAGGGATCATCAACTAGATTCAGCCGTGGGACGTTTCTTTCTGGAACGGATGGTGGTGGGGGGGGCCGGAACGTAATTACAAATAATTTGTAGACTGCAAATTGACCGCAAGAAGGCCAAACAGATATAGCGTTTGACTAAAACATAATCATTTCAAACCTTGCTTACATTTGTATACGATAACGTGTCTCTGTATTATGGGTGGGAACAGATGTCTGAAATGTAAATCCCTTGGAGCTGATTTCCTGCTGTTTCTACAGTCTTTTATGTCCACCAATGAAATTCCACAAAAATGACAAACTTTTTTTTGGGGGGGCCAAATAAAACCACCTGCCAAATTTGAACCGAGGGCCGCCAGTTGGGGACACTAGAGTCTAACGATGCAACAGTGTGTCTATTTAAGTAACATATTAAAAACATCCCTATCAGAATCTGTCAATTTAAGCGATATCTGTTTTTTTACATCTCAATCCACCTCATCCGCCTATGTCTGCCTTCCGCATCTGCAGTGGGAAGGGTCAGAGCTACAGCGCTGTTTGTCGACCAGGAGACCGGTCTTCTCACGAAAACGTCTGTAGCATCCGTACGGTTTGGCCTATAAACTATTATGACACCTCTATGGAAAGGCAACTCTATAGAGCCGTTTGCACATTAAATAGTACCCGCAAAACACCAGTCTCAATGTCAACAGTGAAGAGGCGACTCCGGGATGCTGACCTTCTAGGCAGAGTTGCAAAGAAAAAGCCATATATCAGACTGCCCATCTTAATCTTTTATTTTTATTGGTCAGTCTGAGATATGGCTTTTTCTTTGCAACACTGCCTAGAAGGTCAGCATCCCGGAGTCGCCGGGATGCTGACCTTATAGTTTAATGTATTTTAATAAAGGTTAATATATGTTAATATAGATTAATATACCTTAATATAGTTTAATATAGTTTAATATAGCTTAATGTAGTTTAATACATCTTAATATATTTGAGTATAGTTTAATATAGTTTAATATAGATTAATATAGGTAAATATAGTTTAATATAGTTTAATATAGTTTAATATAGTTTAATATAGTTTAATATAGATTAATATAGGTAAATATAGCTTAATAAAGGTTAATATACTTTAATATAGGTCAAAATAGATTAATATAGGTAAATATAGTTTAATATAGGTTAAAATAGGTTAAAATAGATTAATATGGTAAATATAGTTTAATTTAGGTTAATATAGGTTAAAATAGATTAATATAGTTTAATATAGCTTAATAAAGGTTAATAGACTTTAATATAGTTTAATAAAGGTTAATATAGTTTAATATAGGTTAAAATAGATTAATATAGTTTAATATAGCTTAATAAAGGTTAATAGACTTTAATATAGTTTAATATAGTTTAATATAGTTTAATATAGGTTAATATAATTTAATTATTATTTATTTTTTTAGTCATTTAGCAGACGCTCTTATCCAGAGCGACTTACAGTTAGTGAGTGCATACATTTTCATACTGGCCCCCCATGGGAAATGAACCCAGAACCCTGGCGTTGCAAGCGCCATGCTCTGTAAATGTAAATGTTAATATAGGTTAATATAGTTTAAAATAGATTAATATCGTTTAAAATAGGTTAATATAGGTTAATATAGGTTAATTTAGTTTAATATTGTTTAGTATAGTTTAATGTAGATTAATATAGTTTAGTATAGTTTAATGTCGCTCCTAAATCGTTTAGGATCTCGTTTAGTAAGTCTAATGTTTAGATTACTCTAGTCCTCTCGTATCGTTAATCGGTAATTATACCTTAGTACGCTTAACTCTAGATTTCAATACTCGTTAGTCGTATAGTTTAATGTAGATTAATATCGTTTTGTATAGTTTAATGTAGATAAATATAGTTTAGTATAGTTTAATGTAGATTAATATAGTTTTGTATAGTTTAATGTAGATTAATATAGTTTTGTATAGTTTAATGTAGATTAATATATCTAAATTTAGCTTAATATAGGTTAATATAGGTAATATATATTAACATAGCTTAATATAGTTTAATATACGTTAATAGAGATTAATATAGGTTAATATAGTTTAAAATATGTTAATTTATGTAAATATAGGTTAATATAGCTTAATATATTTTTTATAAAGTATAATATAGATTAATATAGCTTAAATATGTTAAGATAGGTTAATATATGTTCATATAGTTTAACATAGGTTAATATAGCTTAATATAGTTTATTATTGTTTAATATAGGTTAATATAGTTTAATATAGTTCAATATAGTTTAATATAGTCGAAAATAGTTTAGTATAGGTTAATATAGTTTAATATAGTTTAATATAAGTTAATATAGGTTAATATAGGTTAATATAGATTAACATAGCTTACTGTAAGGGTTTTTTCTACAAACTGTAATGGCCTATTCATTAATCTTAATAAATCTCCCAACATAGGTATGTGGATTGAAGTTGTTTATATTGTGGTTATGGAATATAAAACATATCCAATAGTCGTTTTATTGTCTGATGCCACAATCCTGAGTTTGTGTTTCAGTCCCATTGCACTTGGTTTGGTTGAGGGACGGGGCTGGAGGAATGTAACCCCTCTCAGAGTTGTAGTCCAAGCGATGGATGGAAGAACAAAGTCCATGAGATCAGATCGCTTTGAACAGACGTTGAAGCTAAAACTCTGCAGTTGTGCATTTGTTTTTCTAATTTAGTAGCTAGTTAGCTATCTAGCTAAGTGTATACAGTGGGGAGAACAAGTATTTGATACACTGCCGATTTTGCAGGTTTTCCTACTTACAAAGCATGTAGAGGTCTGTAATTTTTATCATAGGTACACTTCAACTGTGAGACGGAATCTAAAACAAAAATCCAGAAAATCACATTGTATGATTTTTAAGTAATTCATTTGCATTTTATTGCATGACATAAGTATTTGGTCACCTACCAACCAGTAAGAATTCCGGCTCTCACAGACCTGTTAGTTTTTCTTTAAGAAGCCCTCCTGTTCTCCACTCATTACCTGTATTAACTGCACCTGTTCGAACTCGTTACCTGTATAAAAGACACCTGTCCACACACTCAATCAAACAGACTCCAACCTCTCCACAATGGCCAAGACCAGAGAGCTGTGTAAGGACATCAGTGATACAATTGTAGACCTGCACAAGGCTGGGATGGGCTACAGGACAATAGGCAAGCAGCTTGGTGAGAAGGCAACAACTGTTGGCGCAATTATTAGAAAATGGAAGAAGTTCAAGATGACGGTCAATCACCCTCGGTCTGGGGCTCCATGCAAGATCTCACCTCGTGGGGCATAAATGATCATGAGGAAGGTGAGGGATCAGCCCAGAACTACATGGCAGGACCTGGTCAATGACCTGAAGAGAGCTGGGACCACAGTCTCAAAGAAAACCATTAGTAACACACTACGCCATCATGGATTAAAATCCTGCAGCGCACGCAAGGTCCCCCTGCTCAAGCCAGCGCATGTCCAGGCCCGTCTGAAGTTTGCCAATGACCATCTGGATGATCCAGAGGAGGAATGGGAGAAGGTAATGTGGTCTGATGAGACAAAAATAGAACTTTTTGGTCTAAACTCCACTCGCCGTGTTTGGAGGAAGAAGAAGGATGAGTACAACCCCAAGAACACCATCCCAACCGTGAAGCATGGAGGTGGAAACATAATTCTTTGGTGATGCTTTTCTGCAAAGGTGACAGGACGACTGCACCGTATTGAGGGGAGGATGGATGGGGCCATGTATCGCGAGATCTTGGCCAACAACCTCC